CGGGGCGGGGCGGGGGAGGTTTTGCTGTTCGTCACGCAACGGACGCGTTGATGATGTGGGCAGCAGGCCCCACCCTGGCCCGCACCAACCCCATCCTGCCCCGACAGCCCACCTACCTTCCACCCGGGCTCAGGGCACGGGTCGGCGCGGCGCCCAGCCACACGGACAGTGCATACGGACGCGCTGGGCGAAAATACAGACGCCAGCGCTGCGTGACGTGAAGTGAAGTGACGTGTGGGTGGAGTGGCGGCAGAAGGGGCGAGCGGCTTCAATATTCAAGGATGTATTTTCATAAATGCACCTGCTTTCCACTTCGCAAAATGAGGATGTTCAAAAATTAGCAGTAATATTTAGTAGCTTGTCACTTGTAAATAGAGTAAAGTACAAACTAGAGTAAGTACACTTATTCCAAGGGGTCAACTGCTCAACTTTATTTGCAAGGGACCAGCTCTAACTCGGCAGCTGTGTATCTTTGCGGTGCGGGTTTCCCCGAGCCGATCGGAATTTGTCTGAAATTTAGAGAGACTCTAGAAAGAGCAGCAAGCTCGAGGAGCCCTCATAGCCCTCCACGCCCCAGCCCGCCTCACCCTGAATGTGATTGATAGAACAGCTAGTGAACCTGGGTTACGTGATGAGGCCCTGTCATGTAATCTCCACTCCCCCCCCCCATTTCCCCCACGCTTCCCGGCCACCCCGCGCCGCCCGCTATCCGACGGAGATCTGATCTTCCCCACCCTCTCCTGTCATTTATCTTGTGCTCTTCCTTTTTCCTGGCGCCTCACTCACGTTCACCTTTCTGTCTTTCTCTCTGTTGCAGGTGTCTTCAAGTTCATCAAGTACCTGAACCGTGAGTACTTCTCCGCCCTGCTGCTGGAGTCCCGACTCCTACCTCGTCTGGGTGGAAATGGAGTCGGGAGGGGGAAGGGGAAGGGCGGCAGTTTGATTGCGTTTAAGATTAAGCCGTTAGTACGACGCCTCCTCCTGCGCCCACCAGCGCCGCGATGCTCGCTGCTTTGTCGGTTCCGGTCTCTCGGTTTCCGGTTCCGGTCAGAGTCCTCGCTGCTATGCGGCGTCATGAGATTCTCCTTCCAAGAAGACGGCTGGAGGATGGGAGAGGGAGAGAGAAGGGGTGGTGGAGGGAAAGGGAGAGAGAAGGGGTGGTGAAGGGAGATGGAGATCAGAGATGAGAGGCCACAAAACTCTGCGGCGACCCACGCCGAGTCCACCGCTCAGCCAAGAATCGCGAACGAATTTAATTTTGTGGAGGCATATGCCGGGATGCGCATTAATTAGACCCCGGTCTGCGCGGCGCCAACACTCCGCCCTCCTCAATTAATGCCGAGCCTCTAGTTTTACGAACCCCGGGAAGTAAAAGTGAGTTGGGGGAAGGCCGAGGGAAGGCTGCAATGGACAGGAGAGGGGGCGCCGCGCTGGGGGGCAGACGAGGAGCGGAACAACGACGTGGACGTGCTCGCTGTTGCAGACCCGCCCGAGATCACCGTCCGGCCCAAGCCCCAGGTGGTGCGCGCCGGCGGCGTGGCCTACTTCGTGTGCGCGGCGCGCGGCGACCCGCCGCCGGTCATCCGCTGGCGGCGGCGCGCGCGCGGCAGCTCGGCGGCGGTGGCGGCGGCGGCGCTCGCGGAGCGCGCCAAGGTGCTGCGCCTGCCCGGCCTGCCCGGCGTGCCCGGCGGCGGCGCGGGGGCGGCTGCGGGGGCGGCCGCGGCCTCGGAGGGCGGCGCGCGCCTGCTGCGCATCCAGAACGTGCAGCCCAGGGACGCGGCCGCCTTCATCTGCGTGGCCGAGAACAGCGCGGGCGACGCCGTCAGCGCCGAGGCGCAGCTCACAGTTCTCGACGGTAAGTACATCCTCGCATACACCCGTCTCGACGGTTACTCACAGTACCAGTCGCGGGTGGCGTGTCTGAAACGCCCATGGGTGCATCCAAGGAAGGGGTCGACAGGTCGGCATTTTTGCGTACGCTGGAGTTGCTGGAGTACAGTAGGGGTAAACTGCTCTGGAAAACAAGAATCGTTGTTCCAACGAACGTCTTGTCCGGACTTGTCCTTGTGGCCGGGTTGTTGATCCAAAAATACGTTGTTTGCTAACCGTATGACAGCCGGTGGTTGTGCCACCGGTGCATGCCCCAGTAGAACACCATCGCCTTTTTTGCGCTTAAATCGCGCTTTTAGAAGAACAAAAGGAATCAAAAAGCGCGATTTAAGCGCAAAAAAGGCGATGGTGTTCTACTGGGGTGTCGTTGAGCCAGCATGTCATGTTCCTGCCTATAGCATCGAACTGTCGATAGTAAACGTCGATAGGTTTCGCAGTGTATGTGCTGCCCTCTAGCGGTATGACTGTAAAGCTGTAAAGGTGATTCTGATTGTGTCAATGAGTTCTGCAGATACTTAGAAAGGCGATTACGGGCAGACCAGTGGTAAACATGGCGAAACGAATGTGCCATATGATTGATTTAGGATTTATTTTAACTTTTAAATGTTCTCGTTTATGACAGTGGTGTCTTGTCGACGCTGTTTGTC